TTTGACATGTTTTGGCGTGTCGCTGTTTCCGACTGTCCCGTCATTCACACTTTCACAAACATGGAGTCTATTTTCCACGAAAAAGTAAGAATCGCATTTTAGCGAATTATATTTATGAATTATATCTATATTTCACACACGTGCTTCGCCCGATAAATAAGAGCTTTGTCCGTGTTTCAGCGTATCCTCACACGAGCGAGCTCAGACGGGTTTATATGAAGCGTTTGTGGACTTTTATCGACTGTCAACGATCCGAAATGGGCTGAAATTGTTCGAGTTGTTTTGTTTACTGTCATTGTGTCGCTTTTATTATTCTCACGTCTCTCTCATGTAAAGCTAATGTCGCGGATTATGATTCTATAAACAGCACAGTAACTGCATTTACTAACATTTACAATGGTAACTTATTATACATTATTATTACACCGTAGTTCTGAATAAATATCATGCGACTAATGCTGTTCTCCAGGGGTAATTCTGAGAATATCGTGTCCTTTTGTTTGTTTAATTTTACTACAGTAAACACATAATCAATTATTATGGAATGAGCTTTCAGTGGTTTTCATTTCTAAAGTCACAGTTTTATTGTAAGATCAAGAACTGCAATAACTTTGGTTAGCACTGTAAATGAGTCTCAGTAATCAGGGTTTATAAACTGGGTCCGGGGAAAAGTTTAGAGAAAAACACTGTATGAATAAATAAACTATTTAACAAAATAAATAAAAGTTATTAAAATAAAACATGAATAAAAAAAAATAATACATTAATATATCATATTAGATAAATAAATGGTTAAAAATGTTATAAAACATTTAACAAATAAATGAAAAATAATTTAAATAAATAAAATTTTATTGAAATTAATACATTTGTACATTTGATTAAAATACATAAAATAAATGTAAAATACAGCTTGATTAAAATAAATAAAAAATGAAAAGTAGTGTAAAAATAAAAATAGGATTCTAACTATTTAAACAAATTGATAAATGTGTTTAAAAAATAATAATAAATTAGTACATTTTATTAAAATAAATAAGATAAAAACAAATTGATTTAAATTAAAATAATTACATTTAGCAAAACTAGATAAATAAATATAACTCGATTAAAATAAATAAAAACAGAAAAGTAGTGTATAAAAATCAGATAAAACTAAGTAACTAAATACATTTATTAAAATAAAAAATGATTTAAATAATAAATGAATGTGATTAAAACAGTTAATAAAAACAAACAAATAAATAAAACATCTAACAGTACAGCACTACAGTGAGTAGAAAAACGCAATGATCTAATGTAATAAATAACTGCAATTTTATTTAAGTAAAAAATTAAATAAAATATAAATAAATGAAAATACTAACTTATATAAAGAAAATTTGATATAAACTTGATAAAGCTAAACAAATAAATAAAACTTGATTAAAATAAATAACAAATAACAAAGGTGTAAAAGGTCAAAATAAATACACAGTTAAAATAAGATTAAACAAAAAAATTGAGATATAAAATAAAAAGCTATTTGAAATGCATGAAATTTGATTTAAATAAATTTAATAATTAATACATTTCATTAAAATCAATTGATAAAAATAAATAAATACAAATAACAGTACAGTACTGTCAGTAGAAGAAAAACACAATGATGTAATAGAAAGTAGCCTAAATGTTTTACAAATGTATAATAATATTTCTTTTAACAGTATTAATTGGGTCATATATGAAAATATATAGCTGCTGTTTAAGTGTGAGGCTTAGGTCATTCGCACGAGAAGGATCATATTTTACATGTAATAGATTGAATATTAAAAAAAAAAATCCTTTCAATGCCTGAACTTAGTATTTTGAGCACTTTTTGTGTTGTTTTTGCCTCTTCATGACGACTCGCCTGCTGTATTCCTCATTTGTAAGTCGCTTTGGACAAAGGTGTCTGCTAAATGACTAAATGTGCGTGTAAAATCCCTGACAGTAATATGAGTGTATGTGTGTGTGTGTGTGTGTGTTTCAGCAAGAGGGCTCTCTGTGTGCGCAGCACTGCTTGAATAACCTCCTGCAGGGCGAGTACTTCAGTCCGGTGGAGCTGTCGGCGATCGCACACCAGCTGGACGAGGAGGAGCGCATGCGCATGGCGGAGGGAGGAGTGCAGACGGAGGAGTACAGGACCTTCCTACAGGTGCACACACACACACACACACACTCATTGCTCACAGCTCAGCTCACTCTTACAGTCCTAACACCTGTGTGTTCTGCCTTCTTCAGCAACCGTCGGGAAACATGGATGACAGCGGCTTCTTCTCCATTCAGGTGAGTCTCGTCTGACCGATACAGCAGCTTCTGCACTCTTATACATCACGGCTCTTCAGTGGCAGTGATGGAACATGAAGGATATTTAACATCCTTTCAATCTTTCAATTGCACAATACGTTCTTTATAGTATAAAAAGGTGCTTTAGATTATTAAAATGTTCTTTACACTAAGAATAAAGTGATTATTTTAAAGTCCCCCTGTAGTCAATAATTGTATCCATTAAAACTCACCAAAATTACATATTTAAACGTTTTTTCATGCCTTAAAATATCTTGAATGTAACTCGACACCCTCGCCTCATTTAGTATGCGCGGTTCTATGAATATGCAAATGAGCCCCGCCTCCACTCACTCCCTCAGCTCAGAGATCCACTGGTTGACGATCACACGTTGATCTGATTGGTTACAAGGCCGTTTGTGACGTCAGAAACACCAGCGATTTCAAACCGTGTTTTTGAGACTGTCTTTGGTTCACTGCAGTTTTAAGCAGAAAATACTCAGCAATGCTGTCGACTTATGAACTTACACATGGTTTGTCTTAAAGCGTATTAAAAACACCACATACACACATAAACAACATTAAAAGCTGGATTTCCACCCAAGGGGGACTTTAAGAACCGAAAACTGCTCTTCTTTGGCATCACTGCTGGGAAAACCTCAATTTTTACAAGTGTTGTAGTGTTGACAGTGAGCGCATCACCTCACACTCCTACTTCAGTCGTGTGCTTGGGCATCATTGTCTAAAGTTTGTCTTCATAATCTTATTAGAGCTGCACGATTCTGGATAAACAGAATCACGATGTTACATTTTTAAATTTAGATCATGATTCTGATAGCTGGTAATTTACAAAAGGGTTCTGACAAAATGTTATTTTCTGTAGTCTATTTATAAAAGTGTTTCATTAATTTAAATATTTAAAATTTGTTTAAATTAATGATTCAATAACTCACTCATAAAGACGTCCCACTGGCTTCATTACTGCATGAATCAGTGTTTTTGAACGAATCTCTTTAATGGATGCTTCAATGACTCACTCATAAACACTTGACTTGCTAATTTACTGGATGAATCAACGTTTTTGAATGAATCTCTTGAATGAATGCTTCAATGACTCACTCATAATGACTTCACTTGTTTCGTTACTGAATGAATCAGCATTTTTGAACGAATCTCTTAAATTAATGATTCAATGACTCACTTATAAAGACTTTACTGGCTTCATTACTGGATGAATCAGCATTTTTAACGAATCTCTTAAGTGAATGATTTAATAACTCACTTATAAAAATGTCACTAGCTTCATTACTCGATGAATCAATGTTTTTAAAAATATCTCTGGAATAAATGCTTCAATCACTCACACATAAAGACTTCGTTTGCTTCATTACTGGATGAATCAGTGTTTTAATACTAATCTCTTGAATGAATGATTCAATGACTCACTCATAAACACTTGACTTGCTAATTTACTGGATGAATCAGCATTTTTTAACAAATCTCTTAAGTGAATGATTTAATAACTCACTCATAAAAATTTCACTAGTAGCATCATTACTGGATGAATCAGTGTTTTTGAACAAATCTCTTGAATAAATGCTTCAATGACTCGCTCATAATGACTTCACTTGTTTCGTTAACCCTCTGGGGTCTGAGGTGTTTTCAGGGTCCTTGAGATGTTTTGGTATGCTCTGACATTTCTGCTTTTTTCAGTTGCTTATAAACATATTAATGGCACAGGTGAAATTACACTCTATATAGCACACACAGGGCTACCATAATATGTGAGCAACATGTTAATACATGTTTGTATTGTTGAGAGAATATTGTTTATGCGTGGTTATTGAAAAAACTAAAAAATAAAGTTTCTAATATAAGGCCACAAATAACATACTAAATATCTGTCCACAAGACTTTTGACTAGTGGATGTTGTTGCCTAGAGTTTTTGCTTCGAATTGATCTGAAAATCATTCTGCCTAATCATTCACATAAAACAATAGATTGTTTTAAATTGTGAAAAACATTTTTTTGTTTGCAAAGGCAATATGCGGATGGGCGGAACGGCCCAACCCCCTCATGAATAATTAGGCAGTTCTCACCTGAGCAGACTGCATACTAATGAGCCTTTCATTCAGTGGTGTCACACAAGAAAGAATGCAAGGACAATATATATATATAAATAAATAAATATGTATACACACACACACACACACACACATATATATATATATATATATACACTACCGTTCAAAAGTTTGGGGTCAGTGAGAATTTTATTTTTATTTTTTGGAGGAAAGAAATCAATACTTTTATTTATCAAGGAATAATTAATTTGATCGAAAGTGACAGTAAAGACATTTATAATGTTACAAAAGATTCTAACCCTAACCCTATTAATCAAAGAATCCAAAAAAAAAAAAAAAAAAAACTGTACAACTGACAGACCAACAACTGTTTCAACATTGATAATAATAATAAATGTTTCTTGAGCATCAAATCCTCATATTATACTGATTTGTGAAGGATCATTTGACACTGAAGACACTGACACTGGTGATGCTGAAAATTCAGCTTTGATCACAGGAATAAATTACACTTTACTATATATTCACACAGAAAACAGCTGATTTACACTGGAATAATATTTAATACTATAACTGATTTTTGTTGTATTTTTAATCAAATAAGCGCAGCCATGGTTAGCAGAAGAGAATTCTTTTAAAAGTATTTAAAATCGTACCGACCCCAAACTTTTGAACGGTAGTGTGTATATATATACAAACAATCAAAATATAAATGAAAGCCAAAAGCACATTTTTAGTCACACCTTTTAGCCATCCACATACCATTTTTAGCCATCCACCGCGGTAAAAATAAACCAGTCGCATTTCAAAGTCGTTCGCGAAACGACCGCCAGGTGGCGCAAAGGGACATTTAGCAAAACGTAAGTGGGGCTAATGTCTGTAGCCTAAGGATGAAATACTACAAGTTATGGTAATTTCCAAATAAGCCTACAACAAACATTTATAGCCTACTCCGTAATTGTTGGTCATACAGATAAGATATAATCTTTTAAAACTGTAAAAGGCTAAAATATAGGCCTACACTCACAGGCTAAATGAAAAAATCGCTCATGTGAGAAACAGACGTTTGGGTATTTCTCAGTGAGAAAATTCATAGCCGAGTGGTAGAACTTAGGATTCATCATCAAGATGACACGGGTTCAAATCCCGCACAAACAAGGTCTGCTGTATTTTTTATATTTATTTAGATTTGTCTAGCTCTAAAACTCTGTTACACCATACAGTTTTTTTTTGCTTATATTTATAAAACACAATTATCATGCATTTCCATTTTACACTAAGGAAAAAAAATAGTATCCAACAGAACGACTTTGCATCTGTATAATAATAGGCTACCAATCGTAATTTCAAAAGCAGTTATGTAAAAAAATTAATTATATATAGCCTATATATATATATATATATATATACTATATATATATATATAAATTTTTTTTTTCAGGGCTGCCAACTCTCACGCATTGAGCGTGAGAGTAGGCTACTCACGCAATTGACCCAAATCTCACGCTCTCACGCCACACCCCCGATTTCTCACGCTGAAGTGTCAACCCGGTCGGTCAAATTCCTAAAAGATATAGTTTCTATATAGTATCTATAGATCTACCTGTTGAGCCACTCGTGATCGACTAGTTATACCGCAAATTAGTTAAAATATCCCGTAATCTATCTAGAGCGAGCGTGCATGCGAGACAGATATTGTGCTCCAAACCGTGCGCGCGCATGGCAGAGAGGTCTGTTCCCTACAACCTAGAGTTTTAAAAAACATGGTTTTAAGTAAAGTGTGATTTGCCAGGGGGGACTAGGATTTCCTTCTGGTCTAAACATCCCTGCTTCTGCTGAATTATTTTAATCCCCCCCGTAATTTTTTGGTCATACAGATAAGAGTAGGCTTACATCGTTCAAAACTGTAAACTTGTATTCATATAGGCTAACGACAAAAACAGTATAGGCCTACAGAGGATCTACTCAAACATGCAATGTAAGCGCTTCCCAATGAGAAAATGACAAGACAAGGGTGAAAATCTCGCTCTATGTAGGCTAAATCGCCCTGAATTAAAATGTAAAAACAAATCAAATAATGTATTTGTCGAAATGTTGCGATATTGTTTCATTTAAGTTCATAATTATTCTATAAATGTTATTTAATTTAGCAGCATTACCACAAAGCACCGTGTTTCGATATTTATTTGAATAATACAAAATAAAATAAAAACTTAATTCACAAATTGCATGCCTTGTAAGGATCCAAAAATCCCTGTAGAATTTAATATTGAGTTGAACATTTTGTTCATGACAACAAATTAACAAGCGTTTTTTCAGATTATATTTAGTTTTGCTTGGAAAAAGCTGGCCCAAACCAGTTTTATTTCATCAATTATTGAAATAATGAAATATTTAGTAATAAACTTTTGTGACAGAAATATCACTAGGCTACATGTAACTTAAATCATTTAATTCCTTCATTATCAACACGGTCTAGAATAGCGATTTAAGTGTGAATTGCGACTTCTCTTTGTGTTAAGTCAGCCTCAGACTCAGATAGCCTGTGGGGGGTTGGAGGGACAGTTGCTGGACAAAGGTGTTAATGTTCCTCTTTCATATGGAGAGTGTCGGATAGCCAGCCTGATGAGCAGGCAAAATTATTGTAAGGATAAATCTGTGTCCAAATGTAGACCCCATATCTTATTAAATTATAAATATTGTAGTTTATTTATTGTAGCCTATTTAAAGTTTTTTTCACACAAAATTTCAATTGAAGTTATTGTAAGGTGAATTCAACTAGGCATGCTGTGTCTTTGAAGCAACAATTAAAGGTTAAATAATTTTTTCGTGATTTGTATGGCTGACACGCAGCGACATATACAGTATTATCAGCTGTATGATGTGTTTTTACCCTGAAATGTTTAATTTTGAGAGAGAGACCCGCGCACGCAGCGAGGGAGACTAAATAAACTTGTTAAAAAGAGATCCAGCGCGAGAGAGGCAAAGAGAAACGCATGTTTTTAATTTAATTATGTTTCTTTGGACAATTTTCGTTTTGTAGGCCTACTGTTTTAATTGTTTAATTTAGCTGTAATTTCTTTGGCAATACAAATTTAAAATGTCGCAAGAATAAGATTAGCCTAGTGTTTCTTATTTTGCATCGCAAAAGAAATAAACTCTAAACAAGATGCAACCCTGTTTTAAATTAAAAAATTTAAACCTTGAAATGTTCGAACTTGGTTTCAAACTTAAGTAATTTTAGTGTTCTTTTACATTACACAATAATTTAGCAGACTAAAGACGAGCTTCTTCATTTTCATTTTCTGATGCAATCGGCTGACAATCTTCCTTCATCAGTTTTTGTCGTTTGTGCAGCGGCTGCGGTTCTACAGGAATGTAGCAAATTTATGTTGTAATGATAATCAAACAAAACTCTTGACTTTAAATAAGTAAACAGATATAAACAGTTACCTATTTAAGCATCAAGGTGGGAAAATATAAACGTAGGACAACATCGGTTAACAACATGTATGCTACATTGAGATTCGATCTCGGGTCGAATGAAGCTCCTCGAAGCTCGTGTCGTTGCGTTGATCACTGAGCTACCGTCTGTACGCTGATAAAGTTGTAAAGCCTCATTCATGTAGCCTAAATGTTTTTATTGCAATGTTTTATGTTGAAATGTTTTCATTATTTATTCAATTACATTTCAGTAGCCTAATTTCAGTATTGTGATTATGAATTATTTTAACTACGTTTCACTTGTTGAATTCTTCGGTGCGGCGGCAGATTACGCATTAGAGAGAATAAACCGGAATAAACGAACACTTTTCTGAGTCTATGATTGTAGCGCCTCTTAGCGGTGAAAGGCAGCAAATACACCCCACATTTTACCGCCGCGGTGGAACGGCTGATGTGGGCATTGTCATGGCTTGCCTCGACATTTGCGTTTGAATAGCGCGCGTCCTCCGTGGGCGTGTCAGATTAACGCGTAATGAAGTGTAATGAGCTGGGGAAAAAAATACTGACAGCACTCTCTTTTCATACAGATTGCATAAACTGAGAATATTTGTTTTTTATATAAATTACTTCATTTACAAGAAGAGAATTTAAGCTTCATAAAGAAAAACCTCTCGTGCCTGTATGACAAGTAATCGCGGAGTTACAGTTAATCTTAGGACGTGTTTCAGAATGGACTTCACTGACAGAGAGAACGCAGAACTCGCATCATGTTTGTTTTTCTTTATTTGGTGAAAAGCACAACACTTTGTTTTTATTGTGAGTATCCACAAAAAAATAGAAACTTAACAGGATCTAATGATGTACAACACTTATATGTAAGATCAAAATTAACCGAGTATTTTGAGTCTCTTTTACACTGATAAGAAAAAAAGCGAGACAATCGCGCCGGCGCGATAGCCGACCCCAGGGGGTTAATGAATGAATCAGCATTTTTGAACGAATCTCTTAAATGAATGATTCAGTGACTCACTCGTAAAGACTTTACTGGCTTCATTACTGGATGAATCAGCATATTTTAACAAATCTCTTAAATTAATGATTTAATAACTCACTCATAAAAATTTCACTAGGATCATTACTGGATGAATCAGTGTTTTTGAACAAATCTCTTGAATGAATGATTCAATGACTCACTCATAAAGACTTTACTGGCTTCATTTGCTGGATGAATCAGCATTTTTTAACAAATCTCTTAAGTGAATGATTTAATAACTCACTCATAAAAATTTCACTAGCATCATTACTGGATGAATCAGTGTTTTTGAACAAATCTCTTGAATAAATGCTTCAATCACTCACACATAAAGACTTCTTTTGCTTCATTACTGGATGAATCAGTGTTTTAATACTAATCTCATGAATGAATGCTATAATGACTCACTCATTAAGACTTCTTTTGCTTCATTACTGGATGAATCAGTGTTTTAATACTAATCTCTTGAATGAATGATTCAATAACTCACTCATAAAGACTTCACTTGCTTCATTACTGGATGAATCAGCGTTTTAATACTAATCTCTTGAATGAATGCTATAATGACTCACTCATTAAGACTTCTTTTGCTTCATTACTGGATGAATCAGTGTTTTAATACTAATCTCTTGAATGAATGATTCAATAACTCACTCATAAAGACTTCACTTGCTTCATTACTGGATGAATCAGCGTTTTAATACTAATCTCTTGAATGAATGATTCAATAACTCACTCATAAAGACTTCACTTGCTTCATTACTGGATGAATCAGTGTTTTAATACTAATCTCTTAAGCAGGGCTCGACATAAGCAATGGCCCGATGGCCCGGGGCCAGTAAAAGTGTATGTCGGGCTAGTTGATTGGCCAATCACTGGCCCGCGGGTGCCAGTGACTGGCCATCAGCAAAACAAACAGCAAACGTCATACACAGTGGCGCGAAGAGTGTCAATGTTACTTCAGGTTATTTATAACGTGTTAAAATGTCAAAGAACTACGAGGCTGATACGAGAAAGAGGACATCCCGATTCCCTAGTGTCATGGAAAACACAGTAGCCTACACCTGGTAGGGATGGGTACCGAAACCCGGTATTATACGGGCCCCGGGGCTGAATTTTGAAAGACCGCTATATCGATAAGCTCGGACGTTATCTGTTCTGCTGTCGGTACTGGAGAAATACACATAGGCCTATCATTTATTATTGCTATAAAGACGTTATTGTTTTGTTTTTTACCATCTCGATTAGTCGCCAGTCATTTCTATAGCCTATATAATAAAATTAAACCATTTGTCTGTGATGCATTTTTGCTATTCGCAGTTCAGAAGAGAGAGAGATCTCTCACGCGCGCGCGCACAACACGACAGCTCTGCTTAATGAATGACGACGGAGGACAGAACTAAACATTCGAACGTAGCCTGGTTACACTTTAGATCTGTGATATTAGTCTGATTTTATTTTAGATTTCGGCTTCCAAAGATTATAGAATATTTGAGGTAAAACCATTAAAAACTACAGCCGCATTCTGTCTAGCGCAATTTCTTCCATTCGCAGAAGTAGGCCTAGCCTACGCTGTCATTTTTCCTTAAAGCTCAAACTTTAAGACAGAATCAGCACGATCGGTGATTGTTGTAAAATGCAGTCTCTACTGATTCTAAATCGCGGGACGCGTTTAATAATAAAAAGAGCTATTAAAAGCACAAAAATCTGCACAAGAGATGCTGTTCCCAATGCGACGCGCGCTCCGAAACAGACCGTAACGAGACAAGCAAATTACACATTGGGCTTCATGTGCGCGTCTAAACGATCAAATTTACACAAAAATGTGTCAAAATGACCGGCTTGGAGATTCACTTAAACAGTTTATGACTAAAATGGACGTAGTTATGGTGCATCGTAGTTATGGTGCATTAAAATATAGTGCATCAGACTATTAGATCTACACTCGTTCTTAAAGGGGAAGCCGTCTAATAAACATGCTGACGATTGCGTCATTACTCCGAATCAAACAACAAAAGGCAAAAAGAAAATCACTCACAGCTCTTGAATGAATAACTTTAGCTTTAATAAGCATAAGTAACAGTGATGGAGATGAGGAGAGAGCAGGTATTGACAGATAATCTACACGCTGACATTTTTTTTTTTTTTTTTTTTTTTTTCAGGGGCTCTCTCTTAATTCCTCCATTTGCTGTCCTAATGTATACAATAAATACAGTTTAATGGAAAAGTGCTTTTCCTTATATTTCTTTCAGGGCCAGTAAAAATATAAAAGGGGCCAGCAAAACTCGGATCTACTGGCCCCGAGGGCCAGTGGGTATTTTTTTTTATGTTGAGCCCTGCTTAAGTGAATGCTTCAATCACTCACACATTAAGACTTCACTTGCTTCATTACTGGATGAATCAGCATTTTTGAATGAATCTTTTGAATGAATGATTCGATGACAAATACATTATATTAACAGTCACTTGATGTAATTGCAGTGTCCAGTTACTTTTAAAAGGTGTTTTACTTTGTTTTGATCGCTACTGTAGACATCAGTGTTTATATCTGAACTATAACGTTTTATCCCCGTACTTCTATGATAATCTGTATTATTGTAAGACAGAAATAATGAAACCGTGTTGTTGAAAAGACTCTACGACTAATACATGACAACTGCTCTCTTTGGGTCAGAACGAATCGTACTTGTCAAATTGATGAATTGTCGCATTTAGGAATAAGATCGAATGTGTGTTTGAATCGTGACCGGTTAATCGTGCAGCTCTATAATCTTCCATGTGCACTCGCTGAGTACAGGTGCGCTGTGTTTTGCAGGTCATCAGTAACGCGCTGGGGGTTTGGGGTTTGGAGATCGTTCTCTTCAACAGCAGAGAGTACCAGCAGTTACAGATCGATCCCATGTAAGCCTTTCTGACCGCTTCAGCATCCGCACTGTTATCCGCTGTGTGACGTTCATCCTCTTCGTTGTTTGCTTTCAGACACGAGAAGGCCTTTATATGTAACTATAAGGAGCACTGGTTTACGGTGCGTAAGCTGGGACAGCAGGTATGTGTTTCGCTCGCAGCATTAGTCTAACACAAGGACTACGTTTGCATGTGCACCGATAATCTGACTATTCCCAATCAGGACTTAATCACAGTAAAATGTTTACAGGACACGAGCAAACCCTCTTGTTTACATGCAACTTGCATCATACTGATTATTCTCTAAGAATTGTGGTTATTTTACCGGTTTAAGCACAAGGCTCTTCTGGACAAGCTCTTCCAGCACACATGGATTTGTTTGCCGGTTGTTCCGTATTTATCTTTATCTTATCTATCAATTTTTTTGTTGACACACCTAAAATTGTATCCATTTCAAAATTTTTGACCACCAATATACTGCATTATATTCATGTCGTGCAACAATGTCAACATGAACTCATGAAGTTCTTCAGCACTCCAAAAATGCACATGCACACTGGAGTAGATGCCTTTAAAGTATTTACATGCTTGTTTATTGTGATTAAAACATGGCATACGCCATGTTTTACTACAATTATTATGAGCTGATGGTTACTTTAATTTCCTGTATTATCTCTGTAAAGCTGCTTTGAAACAATCAATATTGTTAAAAGCGCTATATAAATTAAGGTGACTTGACTTAAAGCTTTAGTTCACTTCAGAATTAAAATGACCTGATAATTTACTCTCCCGCACGTCATCCAAGATATTCATGTCTTTCTTTCTTCAGTGGAAAAGAAATGAAGGTTTTTGAGGAAAACACTCCAGGATTTCCTCCATATAGTGACTTCAATGGGGTCCAACGGGTCGAAGGTCCAGATGTGAGTTTCAGTGCAGCTTCAAAGTCTCGACACGATCCAGCCGAGGAATAAGAGTCTGATCTAGACAAACCAGCCGACATTTATAACAAAATAAACATTTATATACTTTTAACCACTAATGCTGGTCTTGCACTGGCTGTGATGCGACACACATTACGTGATCAGGTTGAAAGGTCAAGCGTGACGTAGGTGTAAGAACAGACCCAGTGTTTACAAAGAGAACGTGCAAAGACTAAGTCAAACGCCATTTACAAAAAAGTAAATAAAGGTAAAACAACAATATCGGACCATTTTGAAGTTGGAGGACAAAATGAGGGAGTTTTTCACTCTACATTTCTGAACCGGAACGCGTGATCTTTCATGTAATGTGTGTCACATCACAGCTCGTGCAAGACCAGCATTAGTGGTTAAAAGTATATAAATGTGTATTTTGTTATAAATGTCGGCTGGTTTGTCTAGATCAGACTCTTATTCCTCGGCTGGATCGTGTCGAGACTTTGAAGCTGCACTGAAACTCACATCTGGACCTTCGACCCGTTGGACCCCATTGAAGTCACTATATGGAGAAAATCCTGGAGTGTTTTCCTCAAAAACCTTCATTTCTTTTCCACTGAAGAAAGAAACACATGAACATCTTGGATGACGTGCGGGAGAGTAAACTATCAGGAAATTTTTATTCTGAAGTGAACTAATGCTTTAAAGGAAAGGTTCACCCAAAAATGAAAGCTCTCACATCATTTACCCCCCCTCATGTCATTCACAATGTACGGTATATGACTTTCTTTCTTCAGATTAACACAAACAAAGATTGTCTGGAAAATAATCCATAACTGTGAGTCTATATAATGCAAGTGAACGGCTGCCGCTCATTTGACACTTGAAAAACCACACAAATGGTGATTCCAGTGGATGAATCTGTCTTCTAAAACCAAACGATATGTGTGTTAGAAAAAAACTTCAATTATTAAACTCTTTTAGCTATAAATCATCACTTCCAGCCAACTGTCTACCAATTCAGCTTGACTTAAACGTAAGTACGTTGTGAAGTCTGTGCGAGAACTAACGACCCCCTTGTGATTCCTCGTATGACAAAATATTAATGTTTTTCTTACACACACCTATCGTTTGGCCTGAGAATACACAGATGTATCCACTGGGGTCGTATGATTAACGCCACGATCGCTGTGTGTCTACTGAGCGGCAGCTGTGTGAGATGATGTTGAGTTTCTCTCTTAATCTAGTGGTTTAATCTGAACTCGCTGTTGACCGGACCGGAGCTCATATCAGACACATACCTGGCCCTTTTCCTAGCGCAGCTGCAGCAAGAAGGTAAAGCTTGTACATGGCCGTGCAACACATGAGCTCTTATCATACGTCCACATGCATAATGCGTGGAGATTCCATATTCCAGGTTATTCCATATTTGTGATCCGGGGAAACCTGCCGGATTGTGAAGCGGATCAGATTCTGCGGATCATGCGAGTGGAGCAACAGCAGCGGCCGAAGCTGATCGGAGAAGACGAGGCCCAGAGGTGCGCCGACGCTCATCACATGACATATAGGCCTCGTTTACACTGTCAGTGAAATGTGACCCAATTCCAAAGTTTTGCTCATATGTGACACAGATCGGATGTGTTCTATGACCGTGTAAACGGGGAAAAAAACGCATGCATTCGGATATTTCGAGATCGGTTTCAGGCCTCATTCATATGTGGAAATAAATCAGAAATGTGCCAATGCGTCTGTCATGTAAACGGGCAGATCAGATTTTCTGAGGCATTAGGCATCCCCGGTTAGAAACCCCGATGCGCCTCTGCAAAGGACGTTGTGTCGTCGTAGGAGAGGAATGTGGACAACATGTCAAAGGTTGGCTTGCTCATCGAAAAATTTCTGACCCACTGCTCCTCGTTAAAGCCCGCCACAATATGCTCCCGCCAGTCCTGAGGTCTCTCTCGCACACAGTAACTGAAGCACATGCGCAGGCTCAATGATGGCACTCTTCGTCCTCCTCCGCCTCAACATCATGCTGATGTTTGGCGAACTTCACATACACTCACCTAAAGGATTATTAGGAACACCTGTTCAATTTTTTATTAATGCAATTATCTAATCAACCAATCACATGGCAGTTGCTTCAATGCATTTAGGGGTGTGGTCCTGGTCAAGACAATCTCCTGAACTCCAAACTGAATGTCAGAATGGGAAAGAAAGGTGATTTAAGCAATTTTGAGCGTGGCATGGTTGTTGGTGCCAGACGGGCCGGTCTGAGTATTTCACAATCTGCTCAGTTACTGGGATTTTCACGCACAACCATTTCTAGGGTTTACAAAGAATGGTGTGAAAAGGGAAAAGCATCCAGTATGCGGCAGTCCTGTGGGCGAAAATGCCTTGTTGATGCTAGAGGTCAGAGGAGAATGGGCCGACTGATTCAAGCTGATAGAAGAGCAACTTTGACTGAAATAACCACTCGTTACAACCGAGGTATGCAGCAAAGCATTTGTGAAGCCACAACACGTACAACCTTGAGGCGGATGGGCTACAACAGCAGAAGACTCCACTGGGTACCACTCATCTCCACTACAAAAAAGGAAAAAGAGGCTACAATTTGCCAGAGCTCACCAAAATTGGACAGTTGAAGACTGGAAAAATGTTGCCTAGTCTGATGAGTCTCGATTTCTGTTGAGACATTCAGATGTTAGAGTCAGAATTTGGCGTAAACAGAATGAGAACATGGATCCATCATGCCTTGTTACCACTGTGCAGGCTGGTGGTGGTGGTGTAATGGTGTGGGGGATGTTTTCTTGGCACACTTTAGGCCCCTTAGTGCCAATTGGGCATCGTTTAAATGCCACGGCCTACCTGAGCATTGTTTCTGACCATGTCCATCCCTTTATGGCCACCATGTACCCATCCTCTGATGGCTACTTCCAGCAGGATAATGCACCATGTCACAAAGCTCGAATCATTTCAAATTGGTTTCTTGAACATGACAATGAGTTCACTGTACTAAAATGGCCCCCACAGTCACCAGATCTCAACCCAATAGAGCATCTTTGGGATGTGGTGGAACGGGAGCTTCGTGCCCTGGATGTGCATCCCACAAATCTCCATCAACTGCAAGATGCTATCCTATCAATATGGGCCAACATTTCTAAAGAATGCTTTCAGCACCTTGTTGAATCAATGCCACGTAGAATTAAGGCAGTTCTGAAGGCGAAAGGGGGTCAAACACAGTATTAGTATGGTGTTCCTAATAATCCTTTAGGTGAGTGTATATCGCAGAGCTAGCATCAAGCATATTTCACCTTCCTCCATCTGTGCAGGAACCCCCTTTATGCATGCGCGATGTTTCAGATAGTATGTCAAGTGTAAACACATTAATCGGATATGGGTCACAATTGAAAGGACCTGTAAACGGACGGTCAAAAAAAAATCAGATATAGGCAACAAATCAGAATTGGGCATCAAGACCTGCAGTGTAAACGAGGCATAGAGCCAGACACCTCCATCTTCATCTTGCTGTTGTTCCATCCACATGCCTTTTTTTTTTTCTGCATTGTTTTTGCATTTTTAGAACTCAAAAACAAATTCCATTCGTTGACAGAATAGATTAACAATATATACAAAACAAACAAACAAACAAACAAACAAAAACGCAGCTCAGAGTGTACAAACTCTCCATTGCACACTATTAGCTCACATTATGGATTAACAAAGTGCTCATCGGTAAAATCCAAACAACAAAATGTTTGCAAGTTGCAACTCTACGGTCCAGATAATTTAAAATTGGCTGATTTTGTGACGGATTAGACATGTGAGGTACTCCAATGGTGTCGTTCCATTAACACTTTTTCACATGGCATTTTTAAACTGCTTGAAACTATTTATTCCTTGTTATTGGTGATGAATGTGCATGTAAAGTTATTCGACACCCAAAACAAACACCGTAACCGTAATTTCATCATAGCATGAGGATTTAATGCATAAAGGTTAATCCACGGCTAGATGTGCATCAAATGATGTCAATGCATGACGTGCAGGCAAAGAACCACCGGTGTTAAAGCGCCCCCTATTGTGCTTTTTCAGATATTCCCTTTCCTGCAGTGTGTAATGGAGCCGTTTGTGAATGTAAAAGCTCTGCAAACAAAAAAGTGCAGTTTTTATCTCCTAAAAGAAAGAAGGGATTCTGAACTGAAACGAGTCGTCAGTAATTCAGTCTCACTTCCTGATTAATCTTAGTAGGTTTGTAACTAATTTGTATAATGCCAACCTGTGGTCCTGATTGGCTGAACAGCGTCTCTTAGCTCCGCCCTCAAACACTGTAGTGTATCTGAGACTGAAGAGTTCGGTTCGTGTTGTTCGTGTCGAGAAGACGCTGTTTTCTGCTGACAAAGCAAATCCACTTTGATGAGATTGATACGGTAAAACCCACGCCATCGTCACTGTTCGTATCACTGTGATCAAGAGCTGAGATTCAGATATGATAATGAGTGTTTCTGACCAATCAGAGCAGAGCAGCTCTCAGAGAGGCGGGGCTTAGAGAGACTGAATCCTCGATTGAAGCGTTTCAGACACTGAGAGAAAAGAGCTGAAGCTGCAGGGGATATTATCAGAAAATTAAAGTGTTTTAGACCTTAGATGCTTTTAACCTGTTGTAGGAGACATTTAAAAACAAAATTAAGAGCCTTTAAAATAGCATAATGGGGCACTTTAATAATGATGTAATGCGTAGAGTGGATCACTGACGAGTGTGTGCTGTGGATCAGGCTGGCGGTGCCGCAGGTGTCAGACACCACACACACCACCGGGGAAGAAGCGCCGCTGGACGAGGATGAGGAGGAGCTGAGGAAGGCTCTGGCTCTCAGTAGACAACACATGGAGGTGGAGGACGAGGAGGCCGACCTGCGCAGGGCCATCCAGCTCAGCATGCAGGGTGAGACACACACACACACACACGTCTGCACACACAGATCATGTTGACCTGCGCAGGGCCATCCAGCTCAGCATGCAGGGTGAGACACACACACACACACTCGTCTGCACACACAGATCATGCTCGTATGAGAGGAGAATCATTGAAGACATTGGATCACAGGGTTCGTACGCGGTGCTTGAAGTGCTTGAATTTGACGGTTTGAAATGTAAGTCGTGGAAATCCCTTGAAAACAGTCATATTTATGAAGAAGTGCTTGAATTATTGAAAGACAATATACATGCATACAATAATACATTTCGCATGACTATGAGCGTGATATTGCTCATATAAATATCCAAGTATATGATACAGCGTTCATTCTTCAGGTCAATCATATATTCATGGGAGAAAATATCAGTTTGAATCAGGAAAGCGATATCTTTGTCATATTATCATTTCAATGGTTAAAGTTAATAAGGTTAATATGGTTAAAAATGTAATTTGTGTCACTTGTGAGTTCTTTCAGTGAATTCAGTGATTCTTTCAATAATCGGTGCAAATTGATCAGCCGGTTCTAATAAGTACTGAAAATGTGAATGGCGGCGATTTTGATTCATCCCAGTGAATCTATTCACTAAAAATATAACTTTGTTAAATGTAACTTTGCTTTTCATTTATTATAAATAAAAACAAATACACAAATTACAAGCAGAGATGAAAACTAAATAACAAAGTTACACAGTCTAATAGTAGTATTCAGTTACAGAAATTAATAATTAAGCCTAAATGTAAAATAACACTATTTGTTCACTGTAGAAATAAAATATATTTTAATATTTGTTAAAGCTGTATTTTGTTGTTTTATTAACATTAATGACACAGACGACAGCAGGAATATTAGGCTGCCGTCCCTTTAAGACTGAATGCACGGACTGAATAAAATAACAAACATCCGGTTTCTTTCTCAACTGTTCACATATGACAGAACCGAGAGATCTCTGTCTCTCTCTCTCTCTCTCTCTCTCTCTCTCTCTCTCTCTATATATATATATACATATATAAATATCGATCTCTCTCTCTATCCTATCTCTCCCTCTCTCTCGATCTCTCTCTATCCTATCTCTCCCTCTCTCTCGATCTCTCTCTATCCTATCTCTCCCTCTCTCTCGATCTCTCTCTATCCTATCTCTCCCTCTCTCTCGATCTCTCTCTATCCTATCTCTCTCTCTCTCTCTCTCTCTCTCTCTCTCTCTCTCTCTCTCTCTCTCTCTATCCTATCTCTCTCTCGATCTCTCTCTCTCTATATATATATATATATATATATATATATAAATATCGATCTCTCTCTCTATCCTATCTCTCTCTCTCTCTCTCTCTCTCTCTCTCTCGATCTCTCTCTTTCCTATCTCTCTCTCTCTCTCTCTCTCTCTCTCTCTCTCTCTCTATCCTATCTCTCTCTCTCGATCTCTCTCTATCCTATCTCTCTCTCTCGATCTCTCTCTATCCTATCTCTCTCTCTCTCTCTCTCTCTCTCTCTCTCCTATCCTCTATCCTAGAATTGTTTAAATGTGTAAATTGGAAAAACAAAAACGTCCAAATGATAAACTTGCACTCTATGATAGTTAAACTTAGCAGTGACTCCGCGAGTCAAGACTCAAGATTACCAGGATCAGGAATTTAACACAATGATGTGCACCAACCAATCATGAACCAATAAGAATGGTCAGTTTTGTTTTTCTGGTGCCTGTAATGGATAGGCGGCGTTGATCCCAGAAGCCCCGGGGCGGTGGTGACGGCGGGCTCGTCTCATGAATCGGGAGGCATTGAGAAGGAGACGCTCTCGGCAGAGGAGCTGCGCAGGAGGAGACAGGTGTACTTCGACAGGTGAGCGCACCCACACACACTCGTGTTGATGTGAGTGTGTTCAGTCAGAGTTAGTGATGATGGTGTGTCTCCTCACAGGCAGCAGCAGAACGCTCACGCTCACGCCAGCAACACCGCCGGTAAGAGCCTCCAGTACTTCTGCTTCATACAGCTTCAGTCTGCTCATGGAGACCCAGATCAGTCTCGCAGGTCATGTGAGCGAGTGGTCCAGGTCTAGTTATCCAGCTCGCTGTTTAAGGGTGTCAGTCTGGGGCGTTTTCACAGCCAGCTCGTCTGGAGTGTTTGTTTCAGGACCTGCCGTCTTTTCTCCCTTAGTTCGTTTAGGCTTGATCCACAGCAAAGCAATTCGTCTGAATGAGGTGCTTTCGGCCCATTTGTAGTAGTTCACTACAGAATTAAAACTTCCTGATGATTTACTCTCCGCCACGTAATCCAAGATGTTCGTGTCTTTCTTTCTTCAGTGGAAAAGAAATTAAGGATTTTAAGAAAAACATTCCAGGATTTTCTCCATATAGTGACTTCAATGGGGTCCAACGGGTCGAAGGTCCAGATATACGTAACAGGGCTCCAGACTAACTTTTTTTACTAGGAGCACTGTTGCCCCTGACTGAAAATTTTAGGAGTACAAGCAGAAAATTTAGGAGCACACCTTAAATCAGCTTGCAATGCAATTATTCAAATTTCCCCCAAAATAACTGTAATACTGACAAATTCTTTAATAATAAAGAGACTTAACGTACAGATATTACGATATGCAGTTTTATTTTAAGTTCACAGGGCTCCAGACTCAAATTTGAGGGCAACATCACCTCAAATGAGAACTCACACTGAGTTCTACAAAAAAAAAATATATATATTCTGGTAGCACTGGGGCTGACAATAAATCACTAAGCTTAATTTAGGGTGTAGATGAAATTAACTTTTGTTATTATTATCATTCATAATGTCTTAATATTAATTAAAACACAAAATGAGTGAAAAAATTTATATTAAGGAGTGAACATAGCCAATAAACATCCTACTGTTTACAATGGTATTTTTTTTTTTTAAAATAAGAGTTTAAATAAGAGTTATCCAACATCTTAAAATTTTTAGTTTTAGGACAATCTTTGAAGGATGAACAAAAAATGTGTTGGTCATCACATAAAAAATCAATTTAAAAAAGCATTTATGATATTATAGTTTTGAAGTGCTAAAAAAGATGTGTAGGCTGCGTTTGACTATTTCTGTCATCATATTTATGGTTAGAGTTAGCCTACTTACTACATTAGCCTAAATCCATGGTGAATGTTGCTGATTTGTGGACTGAAAGCCTTATATAAGTTTTTTCTCCTGGTTTCCACATCAGCACTTTTTGATCTGATATGGTTTATAACAGAACTCTGAATCGGAGTGTTTCTCACTGGATCTCGTAGGGATGATGTTATTAATTCTGAGGCGAATTCAATGGATTTCTTCACTGGATCTCCTTGTAACAGTGTCGCGTGAGCGAGATCGGCCCGCGACTGAAAGGCTATGCGCTGCTCTGTCTATTATTAGTCCGGAATAATTAACGGTCCGTGAAGCATAAATGAGTAGCGTATTTTCGTTTCACTTTCATTTTGTTTGCATTCGCTGCTTGGTAACGAGTCGATAGATCGCTCATTGCTCAGACGCACATAGCAGCTTGTGATATTTGTCTCCGTCTCCTTCCCAGACACGCGCGCTCTCTATTCTTGTCACACTCACTCATTCCGGATTCATTGACGCGCCCCTTCCACGCTTAACCATGCGTTTAACGTGAGGCAAATGTACTGGTCGCACACTCTCAAATTTTAGTCGCAAAATGCGACCATTTGGTCGCAGTCTGGAGCCCTGTAATGTGTGTCGCATCACAGCTCGAGCAAGACCAGCATTAGTGGTTAAAAGTATATAAATGTGTATTTTGTTATAAATGTCCGCTGGTTTGTCTAGATCAGACTCTTATTCCTCGGCTGGATCGTGTCGAGACTTTGAAGCTGCACTGAAACTCACATCTGGACCTTCGACCCGTTGGACCCCATTGAAGTCACTATATGGAGAAAATCCTGGAGTGTGTTCCTCAAAAACCTTCATTTCTTTTCCACTGAAGAAAGAAACACATGAACATCTTGGATGACGTGCGGGAGAGTAAATTATCAGGACATTTTAATTCTGAAGTGAACCCCTGTTAGGCTATTTTAAAGGTTTCCAGGGCTAAACGTTAAGGATTTTTTCTTTGTTTTTTGATTAACATTAAAACAAAAGACAGCAGCAGGTTTATTAGGCTGATGTCACTTTAAGAGCAGTACTGATCCAATATAATGACACACGTGTGATTTATCTCTCAACTGTTCACTCGCCGAGACGTCATTTTGTGTGAATATGTCCGTTCAAACGCAAGAACACGTGAAAGAGAGCTCAATTCAGCTAAAAAATAAGTGCAAATTATAACCTTTCGTGATGCAGCACTGGCGCAATCGGTCTCTCTAAACCCCGCCTTTCTGAGAGCTGCTCTGCTCTGATTGGTCAGACGGCCCAGGCTGCTTAAATATATACAAATAATGTTTCAGTTAAAGCAGGAATAAAGGCTTCTACATTTATATAGATGTGTAACGGCAGCTACACAATAAACCCACAGATGGACGACACTGTGTGCGGAATAACACAATATTAACAGATCAACCAATGAGAGGACGGTTTTACCCACATGTGACCTGCATAAACACATTTTGATACACATTGAAATGTTTCCTTGTGAAGAAGAACAACAACATTGTAACAATTTACGTCACTGTTAGATTCAAATATCTGTTAACGGTATAACTGACTTAAAATGGTTATTTTAGGTTGCATAAACTGCTTAGACTAGTCTTAAAAGTTAGTCATCTAAGTGTATTGAGTCCTTAAGACTGGTCCTAATTTATTAAAGCAGCACTCAGTAAGAATTCCGTTTTTGTCAAACAGTGACCCCTAGAGTCGCTGTGGAGCACTTGTACTGTCGTGAATAG